TGGGCTGTCACTGGGAATCCCCAGTGGCAGCTGGGGGATTTCCATTACTGTTTGTGTCGGTTGTTCATCTATGTGGTAAAAACTGCAGGCACCAGAATAATAAAAACATACTTTGCCGACAGTTTTCGACATTTCAAGTTAATTTAGGCATTAATAAACAGTTTCAGAGGAGTGATCATAGCGATGACTCCCCAGATCCCTGATCAGCTTCACTGATTGGTTGATGTGGCGCGTCGGCAGCAAAAGTAAATTTTTCCCAACTGCTTATAAAGCACGTCACACGCTTCAGATGCTCAGAAGCTCATGAGGCCCTGCTTTGGCTGCTCAGATGCGTCAAGATGTACTGCTCCTTTTGCTCTAGACGCGCTGCAGGACCATTTGATTCGCATCAACCATTGACTTTGCATGTAAACCAGCTGCTTCTGCTACTTCAATCACGGGCCATCTGAACTTAGAATTACTGTGTGTGTTTTATGTATTTAAGTATTTGTAAAAATAGTAATTGGCAAACTGTACAAATTGCAGTTGATTCAATTTGTAACAATAGTCAAAACATCTAATCATTACATACACTGTCATGAAACAGCCTTTAAAAAACAAGTGCTTTTCAAAAATAGTATTGATTTGACATTATTTACTGAAAGTCCAGACAGATTCATAAACTAAAGCCTGTCTGTGAGTAAACACAATAATGCACGTGCTGCACAAATACGATCACTGTTTATTTAATCCCCATTTTGAAATAGCATGTTTGCATGTAATTTGATCATTTTAGCTTGCATTTTCCTCAGGGGAGTGTGTTTTACTTTTCCACCATGTCTCAACTCCTTTTTCACTCATGGTATTTCCATCAAATTATTGCTTGGGTTCCACCAAAAACCTCTGATCCATCTTGGCTGGTTCGTTGAAGGGCAGTCAAGGAGGATCACAACTTGATTTTTTTGTTAAATCTAATGCCAAAATGAATCCCATGTTTCTGGGTATTATTCAGGTTTCCATCTGGCTTTTATGGAAGATTGGCAAGAAGAGAGTCTTTAAAAGTCCCATTAATATTAATGTTTGCCAAAAGCCATGTAGGGGACATTGCAAACTGGAATAAGAATGTTCCTTGGTTAGATGAGACCAAAACTGAACCTCTTAAGCTTTATATAAAACTGTGCTTGTATCAGGAAACTAACATGTGACATTTACCAAAATGCATAATCTGCACTGGCAGCATTATAATATGAGAATGGCCTTTTTAGCAGTGACACTGAAACTGGACGGAGTTTATAGAGAGATGACTGGGGATAAATTCAAGGCAATTCTGGAAGGAAACCTAAGAGAGGCTTTTCATAACACAATTGTCTAATGTTAAGTATGAACTAAAATTATTTTTAATAAAATGCTAATGAAATACACTTGTTAGTTTTTTCTGCTTCTTTAATGAAATATCTGCTATATGTATTTCTACAGTAGAAGTAAACAAGAGGTGCAATAATCTTTTCTGCTCCCTTTTTTATTCGCTGTAGGTTGCAATTTGTGTAATATTTTTTTATCTTAATTTTAAATTACCATGGAATTTTACAAATGCAGTCCTTCTCATTTTTATTTATGACGTTTTTTTTTTTTTAAAGCAATAAGACAATTACACATTTTTTGATTGCTATTTAGAAACTTTTGTTTGGGTAGGATTTTTTTTTTTTTTTTACAACTTATGTATGTGTAATGTAAGCTTCGTGTAACTTTAATTACTCTAGTTCAAATTCATTCAGTAGGACCAAGGGCAATAAAGGCTCTTTATAATGTAAAGCAAAACACACTAATAGAGCAATCAATCCTATGGTTTAAATCAAACCTTATTAGATAGAATGGGCCAGTCAAAGTTTTGGCTTAAATCTAGTGGTAAGACTTATTCTGGTAAATGAGACAGACGGTTAAGAAAGAAAGATTATATGTAAATATATGTTTTTAATAGAATATACACACTTTTTAAAGGCAAACAATAAGAAGCTAGGTATGTTTTTCTTGCTCCAAATCAGGGCTACCCAAAGTCGGCCCTCGAGGGCCCCTGGCCTGCAGTTTTTGGAGGTTTCCATGCCTCATCACAGATGATTTCCATTGATAGCTTATTTTCAGGCCTTTGCTGAACTCCAGTCACCAGAATCAGACGACTGTCCTCTTTTAGCAGGACTATTCTCTTTGATGATTGGGTATAATCCTATGTGTCAAACATACTCGTGGAATCATATCTTAAATACAATTTGAACATAAGTGTGAGGATGAGACATTACAGAAAGTAAAAGAAAATTTTTGCATAAACTCTTTACTCATCTTATTTTACTCCAACTCCCTGCTCTTTTCTAAAAACTTTCTCTAACCAGTACTATTTCCGAATACTTCACAAAACACTTCTCTAGCTAAGCCAACTTCCTAACACTCTCAAATTAAAGCCCCACAATAACACACTTCCTGTCTTCCGGGTTTAACTGTGTTAAGGGGTTTGTGCTTCACTTTGTGCAGCAAGCTGAAGATATCAATCCCTCTGTGTCAGTTCTTCTTAAAGACTTTGATAAGGAAATAGGCAGATTGCCTTTATTTTCCTCCTTTCAGCTGATGGCTTCCTGAAAGGTAGAAAGGAGTCAGACAGGTTTGTGTTATAGGACAATAGCATGTTAATACCCCAATAGAAACCACGCTGAAGTTATGAGTGCATGGTTGTAGAGAGAAGCTAATCAGCTTTTTCAAAAAGGAGCTAATGTACTTACACTGGCTGAGGAGGGGGGGTTATATTTAGAGACTCTCTTCCTCTTAACACAAGATAATACTGGTTCTAGTCTCCTCCCAGTGGCTCATCTTCTCTGATTTAACTAATGAAGAACCCCACATAAAGAAAGGCAAAATTGAACTATTTTAGACAGGCAACCAGGAAATGGTATAAAATGCCTTTTGATATCTCAGAAAATATTAAATAAATGAAGTAGGTATAAAACACTAATTGGTATTAAGTAAGGCTAAAAAATGCACATCATGAAAAAAAAAAAAAAATCTAGGACCTAATATATACAGGGGATAAGAGACTAAGTGATTTTTTTTTCACAGCATTATCAGGGAAAGTGGTATCTGCAAGCCAAGCCTAAGCATCAGACGGTGTAGACCTGGATCCCTTCCACTCTGACCAGCATTTAATTCTGTGAGCGAAAGCTTCACTGATAGTAAGGTCTTAGCATAAACGTGCCATCCACCTGCTGTTTAGGATTCAATTAGAGCTAACGAAGTTGGCAAACCGCTCTATGACGCCTGCTGACGCTCGCCCATGACGTCTTGTGGAGGGGAAATCCTTCACACTCAGCTGTCACTAGCTGGCAGTGAAAGTCATGCCCTGATAGGATTTTGCAGGAACTTCAGAGCATTGACCTAATGTGGGCTTTGCTGCATTTTATCAGCAACCAAATCTGATGAATAAACAAAAAACAGTAAAGATGAAACAAACAATTTATGATTTCTGTTTTTGCTTTTAATGAACAAGTCAATCAACTTGACACTTAAACAGCTGTCAGATCCTCATCGTCCCACTTGAACAGGATCATTGATAAAATCGCAAAGAAACAATCTCTTCGGAGCAAAGAAATCAACATGAAACACCTTAGAGCCCACACACAGACTCACACACAGACACACATAAACAGAGTAGCTTCTCCATCCACGTGTGCCGCTCTTTTTCAGCCAAAATAGAACTCATACAATTACATCATAATGCATTGAATCTGCCTACTACACCACCCCTGACATATTCTGTACAAAATAGAGATCCAAACATAGAAAGTATTAATTTTTAAATGCTTATAAGAATTTTTTTTAATACTGATTGAGTGGAGTTGTCTGGGAAAGTATCTTAAAACTCAGCACAGGTTCATGGTCACATTATACATTATGCCATTTAACATGTTCTCATCATTAAAGCACTCAAATCCTAAAGCCCCTATGTGCATTAACAGGTTAGGCGGCATTTTGTACCTCCTTTTTAACTAATTTCATCTGATTTATTTTTGGAACAACTAGAGTCTTCTGGAATGAAGATGTGATCAGGTGAGATTATTCGGCGATGGGAGCAACGATTGTCACACATGTGATCAAATCAAACAAGTGGACCAAAGGATTTTCGTGGTGTGAACAAATCCCTAACTTACTTTCATCAAGTTAGAAGGAAATGCCATGGGATGGTTAGCGTTGATAGTCAGTTCTATGTAGCGGGCTGGTATTTTAAAGTAACTGGTTTACAGTTAAACAAAATTTTTATTTTTCCAATGTTGATTATCGGGACACCTGCGGACAATTCCTTTTTAAATCTGGCCACATTCCAACATTACTGCTTGGTGCACTGTTAACCAAGCTGCTTTACCTTGTGTTAAACATGCACCCAAAAGGAAATAGGATTGTCCCTGCAGTCAGTGGATTAAATCTTATTTTAACCTCCAAATCTAACAGTTTTACAGAGCAGCTAATAATGCTAGTATATACAATCAGAGACCATACCTAATAGTCATCATCCAAAATATTTCGTGGGGAGTTAAAACTGGAAAAAATTATAAAATTTTATTTTGATTTATGGACCATTATTTGTTAATATTTATATCTATTATATCTACAATAGACAGTCTGGATGCTGTTAATGAAGCCAACAAAACTCATGCAAGGCATCATGGGTTAAAAGATTACGGTGCATAGGGCTAAATGAAAGCAATTGTTTGCACTTTGCTGTCTCCGGAGGAGCTTTTAAATGTTTTAACATTTTGCACTGAATAATGTGAAAAACGTTTTTTTCATGTCTACGCTGTTAACGTACCACGGAAAACATGATTGCGAGGGACACACATCCATAAATTGTTAAATTTGACCAAAATATATGAAATTTATCTTTTTCATAACTTTCCAGTGTATTTTTCTAATATATTCCCTTTGAATCATGTTAAATATGTATGGAAGGCGAGTTAAGTTTGATATCTTTTGCTTGATTGCTGTTCTTTATTTTAATTTTGAACATCCAAGTGACATTTCATATGTAAACATTCATTTTCATGTCTTTTTATGTAAACAATCCAACACAGTGGTTTATGTATCAAAATGCATCCTTAATGTATAGTGTACATATGAGTGCAATGATGAAACCATTATGAAATGGGCACGTAATTCTTCTTGTAACATTTCTTGCCCCTTAAAAAAAATCCATGATTGTCTCTTTTTAATGCATCTAATCGTTTATAAGCTTTACTCATTTTTGTCCAACTGCTATTTGATTAAAAGATATTTTACATCGATTTTGATTCAACTCACCACCCATCCCCCTTCACAGCTTCTACAGAAAATGAGATTATGTTGTTACTTCCTCTTTGGTAATCACAACGCAGTTGTACTGCAGAAGTGCTGATAAGCTCAGCCTTAAACTACTCTTGTTTAATAAAAGAGGTTGCTCCCTGGGTGTAGGAGACCTTACTCAGCATGGGGAAAACATTTTCAGTTCCATAAATACATTCAGTATTGTGTAAAAATAAAATACTTATCTATAATAATGGATTGAAAAAGCAAATTTTCCTTTTAAGCTTGGTCTAGGCACTTTATTGTTATTCCTGTACAGAAATAAAACATGCATTGTTTTGTTGTTTCTTATTCCTTTTTACTGTTTAGAGTTTAAAAGAACTCTAGTATTAAAGCAGATATTTGGATTTGTAAACAGTAACTAGTTCCTCTTTTTTGCATTGTCTGAAAATATTCACACAAACAGACACACTCTTATGCACATTCAAACATGTACAAAGCAGAAGAAACCATGTGATTCAATACGCATTTTCATTAGGGATATTTTTTGTTTCATTAATGCAAATGTTCATATTTCTATAAACCTTATTGTAAGCTGTAAGACATGTAGAAAATGATCTTAATCTGGATGTCATTGTTGCCCTGAAGACATCTAATTTCCAGAATCTACAAACCAATCAATTGGGTCTCCTTTCTTCAAACCTAATCCCAGCAAAATGCTTCTTTCAGGCTAAACTCCTTGACCCGATCTCCTTCTTATTCTTCCAATTCTTTCATTCATTTCTCAACTTCTCTTTATTTCCCTCAACTTCCCATTTGAAAAAAAAAAAAAATAAGATGAGTCATTCTTTTCTTGCTGACATGAGTTCCAAAAGACATAAATGGGCATATTTAGAGTTTAGTTACAGGGCATCCAGGCAGCATACCAAGAATGCTGCAAAGGAGTAAAGTACTGCTGAGGAGATGAAGGTGGACAAGAATAGACAGGCTGAACCTGCGCTACATAATAGTTGCTGAAGTTTCCATCTGAAACGTAAGGAGCAGGCTGGTAGAAGCATGTGACATTGGCAGCACTGAGGATGGCGTTCTGCTCAGCTAGGACTCGAAGCGCCAGCGACGAGATGAGGCTGAGAGTCTGACGTCTCTCATGTCCCATCAAGCACACCGTGCTCTCCTGCACCACGTCATACAGCGTGGCCAAATAGTCATACTTCCTCTCCTCCAGGTCTACAAAGTGGTTCTGCAGATAGGACTCCAACTTTCTGCGCTGCTCGCCCACATCAGGGAAATCTATGAAGAAGCGTGAGCACATGTACCGCTGCAAAAGTTTCATCTCTGTGTCAGACGCCGCACGGAAACCTCGCACCAACAGGTGGCAGTACTTGAGCAAACCCCCGCCACGGATCTCTTCAGGGCTTCGAGTGCAGATGAGTCGCTTGCGAAGGTGATCGAGGGCGGTTGGAAAATCTCCATAGACGCTCTCGCCAATGATCGTGGGGTGGAAGTTGGCAGCCATCGGGTGTTCGGAGCACTCATAGAAGAGAAGAAGGGAGTCAAGGCGGATCTGGAAGGAGTCAACGCTGAACTCAAACTGCCGTCGAAGAGAGTCCACGAACTTCAGCTCCACATTTTTGCCATGGTTGTTGGAGAGGGAGATAAGACTCCAGCGGTCTGAGTCATTGCAAACCTTCACCATCTTCTGCACATAAGCTTCCTGGACACAAAGAGAATGGAACAAATCAGCTGTTAACCTACAGAGAAGATGGATCTGAATATTTTTTATAAGTTAGAAATAGAACATGTGGCAGGCTCAAAGGTGTAGGTAGAGAAAACCCTTATATGTTGGTAACTTAATATTAATCATTGGTTACCAATATCGAGGTATAAATGTTTAAAAAGTTAGTGTTTAAAACATGTTCTGGTTTAAGGTCCTTAAATAAGTGGGCATTGTTTTCTCCAACTATGGAGCCTAGAATAAAGCACATTTCCCCTTCGTCACTTGTTGCTGGGCACTGACGGTCAGGTAGCTGACCAGTAAAGTCATATTAAATATTGAGAGAGGCAAACTAGGCTACTTGGAATTATAGTTGTTAACCGTTAGCTGCAAAAATCCCCCTGATTAAAGACAAGGTGTTGTAAATATACACTTGTGAGGCTACAATAGATATGATTAGGGCTGAAGGGATTAATAAGATTAATCGTGATTAATTGATTATTAAAATAATCATCAACTTATTTAGTAATTGATTAATTGTTAACTGGATTATAGAGACTTTAAAACATGTCTTTAGCTGATAGAGCGACTCATTTATGGCAGCAATTATACAAAAATTGTACAAAAAAATATACAAACATTTTGCATTTAAGATTTTAAAAATGTTTCCATGTGTCAATGTGCTCTATTCAAAACTCATTAAAGGGAAAATTTGAGGTTTCACCTGGTTTAACTTCGTAAGAAATATTCTTTGAGGAACCTTTGGCTATTTGATTATTAATCGATTCATAGAAAAAAAATAATCGACAGATTATTCGATTTGCAAAATAATTATTAGTTGCAGCCCTGTATTTAATTTTGCGTAATTTGGTGAAAAACAGTAATAACAAATGTTATTTTTGCAATTTAAAAAAAAAAAAATAATAATAATAATTTGCTTGGTAAAAGCAATGCCATAATGTAACACATTGTTCTTTTCTGCTTTTGCATAACTATCACAATACCATTATATTTTTCGTAAGAGTATAGTAAGAATCTCCAACAGACCAAAGTTTTTTTTAAGTTATCCACCATATGTATAACCAATTGACTAGTTTCCTTAAATGTTCTCTGGCGTGCAAAACAATAAAGAGACCCTCCTTTTTCAATCCCTCCCTGAGGCCTAATAGCCCATTCTCATTTCATGCACTTGGCTTCCCACCTGTAGTTTAGTTTCAGCTATTGCTAAATTGTATTGTTTAGTGGTTACTATTGCATCCTATTGGATTAAATGGTTCATGGTTTTCATTCAGAATTTTTTCATCAGTAATATAAATTGGATAAACTTTTGGTTGGTTTACAGCTTCAGCAACTCCACATTAATTCTCTTTGAGTAGATAAAAATCTTGGTCATTATGTTTTGATGATCACATCTGTTGGTGGGCCATTAGTAGCCTGGGTAGACCTTGGTATCCAGGTAACTGAGGGCCAAATGATTAATGCACCTCTGACTCCAATTGGATTAGACAGGATCCTGTCTGAACTGGAAACAAACCCCTTTTCAAAATCTGCAGGCTTCCTCAGGCCAGCAACAACCCATTAGGTTTTCTTTAACACAATTAATATGTATTCATTCAGAAACGTTCAGGTTCTAAATAGTCATTTGGGTTCATTTATAAGAGAGAAAAATGTAAGACAAAAGTTTTGATTTAGCTGGATTGGGATTACCTTTAAGGTCAGAGGTGTGATCTTCTCTTTATTAACCCCTTCAGGCAGGAAGTCTAGAAGAGAGTCTAGCACCAACTCTTTCACCAACTGAAACTCAAACTCTCCCTTCAGGTCCGCGCAGAATATTAAGTCCAGATCTTTCCATCCCAGACCGCTGTCTTCATGCAAGACGTAGCTGGCCGCGGATCCGTTCAGGCGCACTTCCCGGACGTGGATCCGTTTCTCCTCCATGCGGCTGCGGACCACATTGACGATATCCCGTGGCTTCACCTCCAGCGTGGGGAAGCTCCATCGGCCGTGGATGGGTATGGAGCCCGTGAGGATGGCGTCCAGACGTTGCACTTGCTCCCAGTTGAGTACGCTGAGGTTAACGCTCTCCGCGTCTTGACAGCTGTTGCCCGTCGCGCGCTCAACGCTTTCCTCCATGTCCGGAATAAAGTTGATGATAAGAGGTAGACTGCAGGGTGTGAACGGTGAAATGTGGATCCAGTCTCCGCTGGAGAAGTGGCATCAGAGAACCTCGATCATAACAGACGCATGGCAGAAGGAGCTTGTCCCACTTTTTTAGTTTGCGCACCAGACAGATTCAAGGCGCGACTCCCGTAAAGCAACATTAACGCTCAGATAAATAATAGTTATTTTCTTCTTCCCTGTTCAGCCTTTCACATCCATCTTATAGAAGAAATCCCCCGAAGTTTTACTTCTGTCCTCACTGTCTGACTTTTACGCACAGCTTGCTGAACCTCCGTTATGCGCGGCTGAAACTTTACGCATAGTTTTTTTTTTTCTTCAAGAATCCAAAACACACCTACTTTCAGCAAGCGGTGCAAGGCTGTTTATCCATTACATTTTGGCCCTTTTGTCGTTTGATGGTCCTGCATGATGCCCCTAAACGTCGCGCTGCACAGCTGCTGTGGAGGCTGCCAAACACACTGTGCTTCCCGTGAGCGGAGCACCGGGGCGGGGCGCTCTGATTGACAGCTCACACCTACTAATAGCTTTCCTCTGCGAGTTCGAAGATCGAGGCGTGTCTGAGGCATCGAGATAGTGACGCTTGGCTGTGGACCACAGCAAAAAGAAACTTGTTGAAGTTTAGCCTAACTTTGGAGAACTTTGAAAATGTTGGGCCATTGCCCACCTTTGATGTCATTTCTTTATTAAAAATCAGTTGACAACTGGTGCACACTTTTTCACCTACACTGTGCGTCATAATTAGGACAGATTTCACTGATGTATAGTTTCAGTTCTCATTGTAAGAGTATTTATGTTTTATGTGGCTATTTTCTGCAGCTTACATGTTACTAATATTTGAGACTGGAAATTACAAGAGCCAATAAGCGCAGTTTTATGCAGCTACATTAGCACTAAAACGTTTGTTAAAAAATTTGAAACAAAAAAGGGAAGTGTATTTTTAACAAAACAAAAAGTCAAATTAGTCCTAAATAGTCATTTTTATAGACTACATGTAATCTAGAGGTTATTAAAGCATTTTTGTTTTACAAGCAACGTCATATGGAGTAATAAGTGTTTCACCGTACTGTTAAACATACAATCTTAGAACAGCCGAATCATTTGTTTAGGGAAATGCTTGTAAAAGGCACCTTGGGCAAGTTCTTCTTTTGGCACCACCCTTGGTATCCCTTTACTTTTTGTGCTTTCACAAACTAACGAATTCTCTCATCTGAAACAATGTATTGCAAGATGCCTGTGTGGTGCAAAACTAACAATCTAAGTATTTTGAATTGAAGATGAGTAAATGCAGTTGAAATTCCTGTAAGAAAATGATCATACCGCTTGGCTCCAAGACTTTACGCTTCAAACCTTTTTCTGACCCTCTGGCTGTGTATGGGGTGTCCATCACACAAGATATGATATTCTATAGTGAGAGTCTTCATAATTTTGCCAGCATAAACAGGCAGGTCACTTAAAACAAGGCTGCAGTTGCTGCTTGAGTGATGCTGTACTTTCCTATCTGTTTTCTGTCCAGGTTTAATATTGAACTACATTAAAAAATCCATATGGAGATGAAACCGGCCAGAAATTACATAATCTACCTTGCAATTCAGTTATTTTACTTTGCATTTTCCTCAAGAATGATGCATTTTAACCTGCCACTGTATTTCTCTCCCTTTATGACTAATAAATTGCTGTATAGTTCCAATAGAGATAGACCTGAGGTATTCCTCTATATGAAGTGCACAGACACTGTTGGGAAGGAATGTCAGTGGTCTGCCTGGCCCCATTGAATTTAACCCAATGGAATTGACTCTTTATGATCTGATTTTCCTTTAAATCAGCTGCCAAATTAGATCTGGTTTACCTAAGGCTTTAAGAGTTTCATGTTTAGAGAAATCTCTGCAAGCTCTATTAGTGAACATGATTCTATAGTCAGTGCACAATTGTCAACCTATCTGCTGAAACCACCAAGGACGAAGCTCTGTACAATGGGAGATGGGGCTTTTTTCTAAGGTGCTCCCAGGTTGAGGAATGCTCTCCTGGACCACATGAGAACCCCACAGACTGTAGATGCTTTTAAACATGGCCTTAAAACTAACTTTTTTAGAAGAATTTTTAATAGAACTCTTGCCCTTTTACTTATTGTCTTTGTTAAATTATCAATTTTTTTAACCTGATTTACTATGTAGCACTTTGGCATTTTTATAAATATAAAGTGCGTTACAAATCCAATGTATTATTGTTATTATTAAAATAGGCAAAGAAAATATAGTGTTAGTGAGTTGCACCACAAATTAAAGTAACTGTGATAACATTTTCTTTACTTAAAAAGGAGACACAGTCTGGTTTGACATTGTTTGCTAATTTAAAGTTTGACCTTAGGGTTAAATGGAAGGCAGAGTAAAGAGCCACAACCACCTGTCGAAGGTAACAGCTGCCTACTTCAATTTGGTCCAGGAATTATCAAGGTTTTTTTTAACTGTACTTCTTTTTGAGTTTTTGATGAAAAAAAGTTATAAATGTGACAAGGTAAATTATCTGTTTCATATCTACTTTATAAATATCTGTACCACTTTTTCTCCCTCACTACCGCTATATTTAGCCCAACTACCATTGGTGTGCCGTTGTTAAACCATGGATTTAGTGGAACAACAGGAGTTACTGTGCAGATAAGCATTAAACTTACTGGAAATCTTGCAATAAAACTGATATATGCACCCAAATGAGCCCAACTGAGAAAATCTTCTGATTTGATACCTAAATTTAAGTATCTCATAAAAGATTATAGGGTTGCAATCAACTTCTCAGACACTGCAAGTCCAATAAGCAGCCCATTAGTATGTTAGTGGATGGGTCAAAGTCTATGCGGTTCGGTTGTCATGCAGAATCCATCAGTGCAGAGCTTGGTGAGTATATTTGCGTCACTGCAGACGAGCCCATTAACAAGATTATTGCGGATTACCCTTTATGCGCAGTGACACAAAGTATATGCAGAAACAGATATGCACACAGATGTATGCACGTTGAAGTTTGCAGTTTCAAGGGTTGTTGTTTGCAATTTGTGCATGCAAAAACTATAACTGCAAAGAATTATTTTTCATATGTGTTTACTGAATTTTCAAAGGAATGTATAGTCTGAACAAAGTTCATCCACTCAGCATCTGAGCCATAATGCCATGACTCATGTATAATCCATGAGTCTTGAGGCATGTAGGTCAAGTTTACCGTAGCTAATGTCTGTTACGACTATATTTGTTTATTCTGTGAAGTGTAGGGCAGCTATTTTCTCCTCTTTGTTGTACCAGGCTCTCTGCTTAGTAAGTTTCATTAAGCAGAAGCTACATCATAAAGAATGCACTTCTGAAGACAAACTTTAAATATTAATTTTATGCAGTTTTGCACCATGATTTCCAGAATGCACAGTGAATTTCTTTTGGACAGCAAAGAACAGCAGGCCATTCTCAAGTAACACTCTCCTCATTCACCCACTGGCTCAGTGTCAGGCTTAGTGCCTGGGTACTTACAGTGAAGAAGATTCCTACCTGACCTCTGACTTTCCAAGTGGATGACACCAGCTTGGTTCTTGATGTCTGACGACATCAGAGGATTGAATGGAGATTTTCAGGCAGACCCTTTGTCAGTCAGCCAAAACAAGCATGGAGATGCAATCTAAGATATGCATATCTTTTCGCTTGCAGAAAGGGTGACTTGGACTTGATTATTTGCGGAGTCAGCCTTTTGCTTTGGGCTTCCGGATTCTAAATTTCCTTTTTGCTTTTGGTTAAAGGGCAAGTGTCCTCCCACCATCCTTTTTCTGTAGGATGCTATATAATCCTTCAATTACTACATGTGAATGTTCATTAAAATTATAATGAACTCGTTAGGCAAACATGCTTCAACTGTCTTTCCTCTGACCCTAAATTATCTCTCCTCCTTAAAAAACTTTTACTTACCGGGTATGTCTAAATTTCTATTATATTGCTGTGCATGCTGTCCATGCCCACATGGATCATGGTGTACTTCAGGAATTAAATCATTTCTTTTTATAGCTGAACAAAGCTGCATTTGTCTGACTTTTAGTATTCATTTTCTGCCAGATTCCTACTGATGCATGCATGAATATTCTAAAGATCAATATTGTGAAATTTTTATCAGATAAAAATGTTACTACATGTTCTGGTAAGAGCTATTTCATCTAAATGTAACAAGATACTACGCAAATACTTGTGGAAAATACTATTCTACAACACTCTATATGTAGTCTAAAAAGGTTTATGCATATTTTTGGTCATCTTATATGTTTTCTGAAAAGAATGATGTTGCAAGAGGATGGTTGAGGTCAATTGGTTAAAGGTAAGCCATGGAGTTACCAAATTAGGCTATCATTACCCTATTATAGTTAACTAGTAAAAAAACTTTTTTGTGTGTGGGTGTAAAGGAGAAATGACCGAGGGCCTTACGATTAAAGATTAAAACATAAAACTATTTCTTCTCGCACTGGATAGTTTGTTGTGTAATACGCCCAGATAGATTAGATCTCTAAACTTTTTCAGTAGCTTCTTGAGCAACAGTGGTGTTTGAAATAAGACAAACTGAGGCATCAAATGCTGATAACATGTTATGGCCTTTGAAAATGGAGGTGCAGGTTCAGAAATGATCGATATAGTACTTTCAACCAGTCTGGTATTTCCTCATACAGTATATTTGAGACAGTTTACAAGCCCTCAGGTCATTCCAGATATGAAAAATATGTGTCCTTTTCGGATGTGCAGGACTAAAGTGCAGATAGACATTTGGAAGCGGCATGGCAAGTATTGAAAATGTCATGATATAACAGGGGGCCAGGAAAAAGAAGCAAAACTGGTGGCCGGATAAATGCTGACAGCAAGCTAAAGGCCTAAGTATTGGGGAAAAACAGTTTTATTCAATGTTTAAATTAGGAGACACATGTGAAAGGAATCTTTTAATTAGCAGAATGCTGTGGCTGAGGGGGAAAAGGATTAAAGAGGGAAAACGCAAGGATGAAAACCTATGAAACAGTGCAATATGGTTTGAAAAAGTAAAGACAAAAGCATCTTAAACACGGCAACTACAAATGACGAAAATGATGGAATACCATAAGGTCAGGTCTCCCTTGAAAAAGAGATTTTATCTCAAGGGACTACCTGGTAAAATAAAGGTTAAATAAAATGAATAAGTCTTAATACCCAAATGAAAACCAAACGTGCATATCTTTCCAATAAGAGGCTGCCTAATGTCTGAAATATTTCGTGAAAAAGGCCTGATATAGTTTGCACCTTCTCCATATTCAGTGAAATACACTTCTTTGATTTTATATCTCCTAATACAAAATAGCTTGAAAATTAGGCTAAAGACGACCTTATGACAAGAATTGCATATATTGTTAGAGACCATACCAAGAAAAGAGAATGTGAATTTTTCCGGAGG